GGCCTGGGACTGATCCCATTTGGGACCAATCGCTCATGGGCCTAGCACCCATGAGCAATTTTAGGACCTGGATCAGTCCTATGGTCCTATGTGTCCCAATATGAGGTTAAATATTTTTTGTTGCTTACGGAGCTGCCATAAAGGGTTTTCGAAACATTAGAAAGATTGTTGATGGTTGCTTTTTTATGGAAAATTTGGAGGTACATTGTTGGTTGCCATTGCACAAAGCTGCAAGAATCATACACATCCCGTTGCATAGAGTATGATTGACTTTGAGAATGACAAGTCATGGACTTGTGGTGTTGGTTTTTTAAGAAATTACTTAAGATAGTGCCTAACAGTGACGAGTTGTGCATAATATCTGATAGACACAACTCTATAAAAAAAAAGGATTGCCACTATTTACCCTCTAGCAGCACATCACAAATTCTGTATGAGGCACCTTAGCGAGAACATAAAACAAAAGTTTAAGTGTAGTGGCCTCTTTCAGACATACTATATGAGTTCAAGGAACACTTCCATTAAATCTGAATCAAGAATCAAGGATGATAAGACTGCTAAGTATCTTGAGCATATTCGAGCGATGGAGTAGTAGAGCTTATTTTCCTAAAAAAAGGTTCGATGTCATGACCACAAACATAGCAGAGTCCATAAATTCGAAGTTGTTAACAGAAAAGGAGTTTCCAATTGTTGCCTTTTTTGATGCAATATAGAAGACATTGTCACGTTGGTTCCATGAGCGTCATACGAAGTTAAATAATTTTAGCACAATCCTAATTTCGTCAGTTGAAAAATTATTGCGAGAACGTATCAAACTTTCAAATACACTGTTTACCTATCCTCTCAATGCTCAAGAGTTCACCGTGCGCGGCTATGGTGTGGATGCCCTAGTTAACATTCTTAGTAAAACTTGCAACTATAAAGTTGGCATTCAACGTTTACTCAGCATTTACCATGTCCTCATGAACTAGCAACACTCAAACAATAATGCAAGCCAGATTATGGTTTAAGAATTTACACAGAACTTTGCTTTCCTCTCTATACGACAAGCCACTATATTCTGGCTTATTCAGAATTGATATATTCAGTTCCTCTAGAAAAGCAATGGGTGGTGCCGTGAGAGTTGCTCAACTAATTCATTCATCTGCCATTTAAGAAGAGAGAGAAAAAGAGTTAAACATATTCCATCAGCCTATGAGGTTTTCCTCGACAGATGAATAAGTTTTCAATTTGCAAGCAACTTGCCCATAAGAAAAGTAGTTGCCAAGATCGATCAGGTGTAGATCAAGAAAATTATCTTTGAAGCCAGAATTGAAGCCAGAATTGATCAGGCCACAAGCAAGCAACCTACCCACAAGAAAAGCAGTTGCCAGGATCGATCAGGTGCACATCAAGAAAATTATCTTCGAAGACAGAAGAAAGCAAGCCAGAATTGATCAGGCCACAAGCAAGCAATCTGTTGTTAGCATTCTTTTACCAACTCCAGCCATCGAACCTACCAAAACAGCCTTCGTAGGGCCTCCCTTGGCTTCCCTAGTCCTCTGGAAGCCAAAAACACCCATTCCCCTATGCCCTCCAACTGCTCGACAAATTGAACCAATCACCTTAACAACCAAAACCAACCAAAATATCCCCAAATTGGCACTAGAAACTAATTCATAAAATATAAAGAAATATTACTTGATCTCTCTCTTCTTCCACATCTTCATCGAAATTTGCGCCGGTGTCATTGTCTTCAGATCCAATTTTGGTGCTTGTCATCTCTTCATCTATCGGCAGGGTGTCCTCTGCCGGTGGAGCAACTTCAGTCGTCGAAAGTTGCTCCACCACAACCGCATCTATAATTTGGAGAGGGGCTAGGTTTTGCTCGGATTCTTTGTTAATCTCTACCATTTTTTGTTTGCAAACTAAAAGGAGAATGTCTTTAATAGTAAAAGATTTCAATAATGCTAGAAAACGGGAAGAAAATTCACAAAGAATGTCGGCTTCAATCTTAGGTTTTTGGCTCTCTCTCATCAGGATTTGCTTTTGACTTCACAATATTCAAATTCAACTTCTCTTTATTATACTTTTACCCATAAATGTTTAAATCCTTTACCTTAAAACTTTTTGCTGCTTTAATTACACTTAAGTATGCCAGCGTAACTTTTTAAAACTTAAAAAATATGAAAAATATTTTCAAGGTTATATTCTAAAATGCAAACTTGAGAAGGCATAAGGCTTAAATTTCCTCAAAGAATCAAGTGAAAGATTGAACATTTGGGTTTACATAGACCAACCTTCTTATTCGCACCAACTTGTGCATTTGCAAAACGCTGAGGCCTGCTGTGGACTCCTCCAACAATCACGAGATTGCCAATATCACATAGTGCACGGCGGTTTCTCCCATCTGCTGGCGCCCCAGCTTCCCTTTCCTCCTCCTGCGACTGCCTCACCTATAATAATCAAAAGAGACAACTTTTATATAAATTTTAAAGAATGAAAGAAAAAAGAGTCAAATAAGTCAGACGAGAACAAACAAAAAAAACAAAAAAAAAAAAAAGAAATTAATTGTTTAAGATTCTAGCTATTATGAACAGTACAATCTGAAAAATATGAATAACCATTTCTTGTCCTTTTTTCAAATTTTCCCGTCAATCAAACAATGTCAAGGAATTAATATAAAAAACAAAAAAAGCAAATGAGTTTCAGATATAATTCAAAACATTACAAAGAGTCACCAAGAATCAAGAGATCCACCATAAGTCCACATTATTGAGTTCAATAATTTAAATCAAACATAAAAACGGCTCAAAATCAAAAGGGTCATAAAAATTAGGAAAACCACACAAAAAGAAAAAAAAAGAAGAAGCACGAGAAATCATCAAGAAAATTAAAGATCTTTATCTTCGATATACGAAATACACGTGTGGCTTGTTGTGGAACAATGGATCTCGAAGCCATTCTTCTTTCTTCTTTTGTTGTTTGTTCTTCTTCTGAGATGTTACTGTCTATTAGTGAGAAAGAGGCGAAAGCGAGAAATGGTCTGTTTTGGAAGCTATACGATAAGGAGGGCGCTTCGCATACAACGGTCGAATTCCTTTTGATTTTAGACCGTCAGATCTTTCTTTATGATCCAACGGTCAAGGATGCGCTGCAAAATTATGGCCGTTTTACACGCACATTTTATTAGAAATTTTTTAAAAAATTAAGGAAAACATTAGAATTAATTGACCACTTAGCAATCAATGTTAGAGATTAATTTATATAAAATTAGAATTTATATTATATAAATATTTTATACCTGAATTTTAAACATTGAATTAAATATGCCCCTAAATCAGCCTTAGTCAAAGTTTAAGGTATTTCACAAAAAGATGTTATGAGAACCTTTACTATTGAAATCGGATATTGATAAGGGTATGAAATAGAAGAAGAGTCGGAAAAAGGGTCCCGGGGAAGAATCTTACACCTCACATACCATGCCAAATTACTCCAAGTAGAAAGTCCAAAATTAATTGTATCAGGGTCTTGGATTAGGACATGACGTAAGAATATATACATAATAATAATAGTATGGTCCTGATTTTGGAGGTTTAAGGCAGATAGAGATAGAGATTCAGATTGAGATTGGTTTCATACATATAATTCAAACCTTTCTAGATTCACCTTTAGGAAAATAAAATAGATATCAATATAAAAAATTCTCACTGTAATCTTAGGGCATATCCTCAACATTTATTCATTAAACCCCTATGTCATGTGGGACACATGGGAGCAGTAACCCCTGAATCTGATTACAAATTATATAAAGTAGGTTAAAATCATTAGTCATAATATATATGATTAACATAAATGGTTAAATCAACTTTTCAAAAGTTCTACTTTAAGAAAGCAATCGCCGGAAGATTAATGTGCACACATATTAATGATTACCAAACCTACTAACACCAACTCCAAATCCTTTTCATTCTTAAGATAAATTTTCAACCTCATTAATGATAGAATAATTTTAAAATCAACATAAATTTAAAATACCATAATTGCACAAGGGAGAATTTACTTGAGAGTTCTAGAAGGGAGAATTTACTTGAGAGTTCTAAAATACTACGTTGTTAAGTTGTTAAAATTTGCCCTTTAACAAGTTAATAAATATTATCAAATTGCCTGAGACTTAATAATAGGGTGAACACCACTACTAATAAAACTTAAATTTAACTGATATATATATATATATATATATAATTTCATCCTCTTAATTGATTTCTTTGGTCTGACAATTATGAACATACCCAAGTAAAGTCATGATTCAGTCCACATTGAACCTGTTGGTTCACGTGAATGACTCTTGTTTTATTCATATTATAAAATGATCTACTTTAATTTATAGTTTCTCTTGAAGAACTTTAAGATATGTCAACTTATAAAGTTGGCCCATATAATACTTAGTTTCCTAATATGAGAATTCGAGGTAGAAGAAAGCTACTTTATTTGCATGCACTGCATTCCTCCTTTTAACCTTTGTTTCTTTATTGATTTAAGTGAAAGCTTTGAACCAAAAAGCCAATAGCTAGAGAATCACATCTCTCAACTTTTTCTAGAACCCATTCCTTATTGTAATTTAACAGATTCTTTGTTTTATATTTTATTGAGATTGTTGATTGATTTTCATGATTTGTATTTGATTAAGATTGTTTTGTCAATTATCAATGAGAAGATTTCACAGGGAAACTGAGTGAGTGATTTGAAGTGTTTTTATTATAATGGTTGGTGTGCTATATATGTGGAAGAATACTTGACTATATATATATATATTGAAAATCCATAAATCCCCCAACACTTGCTTCGCAAACGCTGCTTTAAAGATGAAACCCCCGCCAAACCTGCAGTCTTTTAAAAGCATGAAAGAATGGCCCTTGATCATGCTGGTGCTCATAAAGGAGCTTGAAAATTGATATTACTTAACTATTAATATTGACCTGAAAATTGATATTAAGGTAGGTAATGCTATTTAACAGAGTAACTTGAAAACTTTAGTGTTGAAAGCACCAAGACCAATGGCCAGATGGGACTATGATGAAAATACAGCAACGATAGTGAATTCTGTCACCAAGAACTTGACACAGTTTTATCATTCAACTGACGCCAAACAGTCATTACAATTTACCATTGATGGTTAGTCCTACTATACATAAAATCATAAGCAAAAATCAACAAATAAGTTAAGTTTTAGATGTGCAATTGGATTCTAGTCCTCTAAGCCTGGCTCTGATGACTCGTCGTCGTCCAGTGGCCTTTGACAAGCAAAGGGCGGAGGAGGAGGGTCAACAGTCGATGTGCCCCCTAGTATCATCAGCACCTCACCCATGGAAGGTCTCATACGTTCATCAGTTTGAAGGCACCAAAATGCAATTCTCAACACACACTCCAGCTCTTGAGGATCAACTTCACTATCTATTCTTTTATCGACTATCCTCTCTGCATTTCCCTCCATCCATTCCTTGTAAGCCCACTCACAAACATTTTCAACTTCTTGACATCTGCCGCTTACTAGCATCAACACCATCTTGCCAAAATCTTCCACATCTTTTGCTGCAGGAACACAATTGAATGATGCCTCACCATGAAAAATGCCAAGGCCAAAATCAGTCACTTTTGCCTCAAAATCTTCATCCAAGACTACATTTTCACATTTCAGATTCCCATGGCTTACAAACTCCCTACACTCAGTGTGCAAATAACAAAGCGCCCTGGCCACGGACGAGCAAATGTCAACTCTCCTTTTCCAGTTCAGTTTCCTACACAATTTGGAATGTTGTATATATTTTTCTAGAGAACCATTCTTGGCAAATTCATAGACAAGATATTTGTGACTTAACTCACAACAATAACCCTCCAGCTTGACAAGGTTTTTGTGATGAATGGTCCCTATCTTTGACACTGCACTTCGGAATTTCCTCTCTGCTATGGTTGCATCCATCTTCTTGATAGCAATTGGTTGGCTGTCTGCTCGCATGCCTTTGAACATCTTTGGCCCTATTTGGTACTTGAAGTTCGCTGAAAGCTCCTTGATTTCACTGAAGGATAACATAACCAAACCCTTTGAGTTAGGGCCTGTAAAAGCTAATGCAGCTCTCCTCCTAATAGACTTTCTTCTTCTGTACAGGAAAATTCCAATCCCAAACTGAATGACAATAAATACAACAACTGTGCCTGAAGCTGCCCCAATTAGACAAGGAATGCAAAGCCTGTAAGATTGTATGAGTTGAGAAGTTGGTGGGGACTTCATTGTGAAACTGGGTTTAGCAGCTAATGGATCTGAATACAAACACTTCCTAGTGAAAGATACAGAACTAAGTGAGGGGTCTGAATAGCCACTCACGTACTGAGTTGTCATCATTCGGCATTCTGCAGTCCTATTGTTTGTGAAGGTTACTGCTGTACATTGTGGATCACGCATGCACGCCAGTTTACATTGCTGCAAACTTAACTGATAAATTGAATCATTTGCTGGGAAAATTCCATACAGTAACATGTGCTCATATTCAACCAAATCAGCACCAGAATTGCACTCCTGCGGATGTGGAAACAAACATTTTGTGCTGGTAGTAGATATGGACTTGAACAGGCATTTGCAGTCAGGGGAACCAGATGCATTGAATACACAAATGCCCTGCTCACCACAGGTTGCAAAGACATTGCACTGATTTTCAACAGCTTGCCAAACTGATCTCCATGACTGTGAAGCCTCTACCCATGAATACAACCGCAGATTACCATCTGCATTGAGCCTAAGAAACCGGAATTTGACAGAGTCACCATGATCTTCTCCAAAGGCAGACCAAACAGGCTCCAAATTTTGATCCATAAGTTGAAAGGTTCCATTTGAGGTGAGAACAGCACTGAGATTCAAATGGGAAGGGCTTCCACTTTTCCAATAAGCAATACTATCCCATCTTAGTAGTAATTGTCCCAGAGAATTCATGTACAGACTATAGGAACTTGACAGGGGATCTATGGTAGAGGGTCTGAGTGTACTAAAAATAGATAACTTCTGCCCAGGAAGAAGCGTATCCGATGGAGTATCAAAGCTTTGCCAAACCACATCTTTCCTTTCATTTAGTAAAACAAAATTGCCATCGTCTTGCAGAACAGCTGAAGCAACAGACAATTGGCTTGTTTTAGTTGTCCATACAGTGACTCCCTTTGAGGAGTCAAATAAAACCAGTTCCCCATTTGGTGAAAGCTGGAAATAAGACTGGTTACCAACAGTGGCATCACCCCCAGCAATCCAAACTACAGTTTGTTCAGCAGCAGGAATCAATTTGGAATTGTAACGAACCCCCACACTAAACTGGTTAGGCTGATCAGAACAATTAAAGAATCCAAGTGCAAAATCACTATTGGAAGAGAACCAAAAGTCATTTTCCACTACAGAAAGTTTTGAGCCCAGGGGAATTTGTGAAACTGCAACTCTAAATAGCAAAAACAACCCAATAGAGATACGTAGGAGGAAAGATGAACGAAGGAAGAATGGCTTCTGTTGAAGCATATTTGAATATGCTTAGAGATGCAACAAAGCAACAAATGAGTCCACTGAACACTCTAAAACCTCTGTATCAGATAAGCAAATTAGAGTTATTGAACCACATTTTCAGAAGATTCAGGCAATAAACATGTAAAATAGTAGGCAACTGGAAAACTTTTCAGGATTAAGCATAATAAAGCTTATAAAAATAATAGATAACAGTATAAACTTTTTCGGCTATGACCACTTCAACGCAACAAATCAAAGATATGAATCACATTTCAATATTGCGTACGCAAGAACAGACTGAAACATTGAAATTTGAAGAATTTAGTGCTTAAAATCAAAGAAGGAACACTGAAATAAATAAAAATGGACAAAATACAATTCAAGAGGGAACTCAATATTCATAAGTTTGGTACCTGAAAAGACATTCAAGCCACCAGAAATTGAAGAAGCCAGCACAGAATACCCCCTTCACCATAATAACAAATTCCCATGTTCAAGTTTGGGCCCAAAACCAAAACCAAAATCAACATCATATAAGCATCAAAAACTTGACCAAAGAAACCAACAGTTAAAAGAGTAATCAATGAAAGAACATAGAATAGCATATATATTTGACTTCTTAACAATATTTGGTGACATGAATGACCTGTAAATGAAGAAAAAAATGGAAACCTCCTTTTTTTATTATCAAGTGTAGGTAAAGCTTAAAAAAAAGGGATAATGAAATTCAAAGTTGAAACTTTTAAGCACATGGGACCCAAATAGGCCAGAGGGATCAATAATGTGGGCCGTCAAATCACTTTCAGAGATAGATAAAAGTAGACTCAAGAAACTGATACTGCAGACCCATTTGCATTGAAGATTAGAAGGCTGTTAAATTTACAAGTATGAACTGGCAACCAGTCACCGAGTCAAAGATGAAATGTGTTGTTTTATTATTTTAGAGTAACAAAACCGGAAAAAAAAAAATAAAAAAGAAAGGGCCAAGATTTAAACATTCCCAGAAAATATTTTCTTGGAGAAAATGAACACCCTACGTGTGAAGGAAAAAGATTTACCGGAAAACAAACAACCGGTGTCTAGGAGAAAAACAAGGATATACTAGACCGACATACACTCTAGTTGAAGAAAGTTAAAAGTAAACAAAAGGAAGAAAGTCTCTAAAGTGGAACTAAAGAGAGAAAATGGGACACAATGTTACTTGTTTGTCAACAGATTTATATGTAGAAGACTCGAGATTTAATATACTTTTGTAAAGAGACTGTGTTTATGAGACTTGAAAGGAGGTGGGTTTAGAAGAGAGCGTGATTTGGAGGACAATGAGACCCTAAAAATCGAAGGAAAGTGACAGGAGTAGAGAGTGTTTCGAAGAAGAAGAAGAAGATAAACATGAGTGTGAAAGCAAAGGTAGGGTGGTGTTTCTTTACTAATGCCATTTCCCGTAAACGCCTTAAAATATTTTTATCAAGCAAAAGTCCTAAGATTTTAACGATTATCAAACATTCCCCATTCGATTTAATAAGGGGTTTCTTTAAAAAAAAAAAAAAATGATTTATTTCCTATCTTTTTTATTTTTTTTCTTTTACTACTTTAATTTTTCTTTGCTAGCATCCAAATTCAGCAAATATGTGTCACTCAATAAGAGTAAAAGTTGGAATATCTAAATTTTCAAATGAATTATGAGATTAGTGATATGAATTATACTATTATATGTTAATAGTATATTATTATTATTATTATCACATTTTAAGAATAAACACAATTTAATAAATGTGGAGGGTGGTCCAATTTCAAATAATCTCTCACCAGTCACCAACAAGAATAATATATTTAAGCCTAAAATAGGACACGTATATTAATTTATTTTTCAATAAAAACCTTGCACAATACTAATAAAATTAAATATAAATCTATAATTTGATAAATTGGTATTAAAGTATTTGAAATTGAAAAATGCTTTCCTTACAAAGACCCATATAAAGAGGACTACAAAGTGACATCGTCCAAAAGAAAAAAAATAAAGAAAAAACGGAAAAAAAAGAGAGAAGTCATGAAAATCAAAAGTCGAAGGCTCCGTTTGGTTCAAAATTTGGGGGTTTTGGGAAAAGTTTTTTGAAAAAAGTTAAAAAAAAGTTGAATTGGGTGGGTATTACGATGTAGGATTTATAAATTACTAAAATACCTCCTATATTTGTTTATTTACAAAACACCCCCTATAATAAAATCTTAAAAGTTAACAAAAACACCCCCAACCCAATGTCAAATACGGACAGCCGGCCACCACCGCCGGAGGGTGGCCGGGTTCACTGTATTGGCGCATGACCGGCTAGATCTTGCCGGTCGTGTGCCGATATGGCCTTTGCCGGCCAGATCCACAAAGGCCAGATCTACGGCCAGATCTGACCGTATTTTCTCGTCAACGACGACCAACAAGTCAACGACGACCGTTTGTTGGCCGTCGTTATAAACAGTTACGGCTAAAGATCTGGCCTTTTCCGGCCAGATCCACCGTGGATCTGACCGGAAAAGGCTAGATCGGTGCACTACCGGCCAGATTCAGCCGGTAGTGCGCTATCCTAACAGATTCCGGCTATTTTCCGGTAGTGGTGGCCAGAATCTGGTAAATATGAATTACTGGGGTGTTTTTGTAATTTTTAAAAAAATATTTAGGGGTATTTAATTAAATTATCAAATTTAAGGGGTTTAAAAAAGTTGAATAATATTGGGAATAGTATTCTCAAAAATCTGGGCTCCGTTTGGTTCACAATTGGGTGTTTTTGGGAAAAGTTTTTTGAAAAAAGTAAAAAAAAAGTTGAATTGGGCGGGTATTACGATGTAGGATTTATAAATTATAAAATACCCCCTATATTTGTTTCTTTACAAAACACCCCCTATAATAAAATCTTAAAAGTTAACAAAAACACCCCCAACCCAATGTCAAATACGGACAGCCGGCCACTACCGCCGGAGGGTGGCCGGAGTTGCTGTAACAAAAACATTAAAAATATTTAGGGGTATTTAATTGAATTAACAAATTTAGGGGGTTTAAAAAATGTTGAATAAGTTGAATAATATTGTGAGTTTTTGGGTATTTTACTGTTTAACTTTTTTGGGAATACTAAAAGTAGTTTCCCAATTGGCAACCAAAGGAGCCTGATTTTGAGTATTTTACTGTTTAACTTTTTTGAAAATACTAAAATAGATTCCTAAAACTGAAACAAACGCAGCCGAAATTATCTTCGTGTCTTTGTAAAACTACCGTTTGAAATTATTGTACTTTAAAGATAGGTACAAGAAACGTAGCAAGTGGCAAGAAATACAAAATTTGGTGGACGCACGTGATGGTCAACAGAACGAGGTAATGAAAGGCCACGCGTCTCCATTTAATTAATTAATGTAACTAGTCGGCATTGTGTGATCAATTCTAACCCAGTACCCAACTAATGCCCCACTCATTCTTCAAAGAATCTGAATGTCAGAATGTTCTTTTCATAAGTCCCCTAATTTGCACTAAATTACACCTGACTCCATCACGTTACCCTTTTTTTTTTTTTTTCTTTTCCTTTATAAACTAATTCTTTTAGATGTTTAATACAAAATATTTCGATTTCGATTACTATTTTCAAAATTTAATCACCTTGATAGTGTTAGTGATTATGGTGGGGACTCTTGTAAAATAAGGAAGTGCAAAAATCCACCCAAATTCGGAAATCTGAACCCAATCAATCTACTACGTTGATTTGGGTATGTTTGTTTAATGGTTAATCGGATCATATTAATCCCAAGAAACTTGGATTAAAATTTTGTATATAATTTTATTATATATTCAAATAAGACCACAAAGTTAGAATTTTGGTTAAATGAAGTCTATTTTATGTTAAAAAAACAAGTAATATTAACATAATTATATAATGCGATGTTAAGGGTGAAATGCAACTAGTTGAATAATGTCAAGTCAACTTAATTGGCAATTGCTCGCTTGGTCTTATGTTCATTTATTAAGTTGGTGTGAGATAAGTGACATATTAACTTATGTGAAAATTCAATGAATACATACATTTAATTTATTTGCATTTTGTCTTAATCTAAACATTATCATTTCTTTTTCACTTATTTTCTTATTTTATTCGTTCTTCGTTTGATTTTTAAACATTTAATTTATTTTTCTTAACGGAAACATTATCATTTCTTTTTCACTTATTTTCTTATTTTTATTCATTCTTCGTTTGATATGTAGTAAAAAAAAAAAATGATAATTTATTTCTTAACTTTTTTTTTTCAAGTGTCACAATACGGTGACAAAGTGAGAAATAGAATGGCAGTTACTATTTATAGATCAACATATTTGAAATTCTCTTTTAAATTCTTAATGAATTTATTTGAACCTAAAAGACAAAACTTTGGAAATGCATAGTTTTTTATTAAGAGAATCAGTGATTTAATAACCGACCTCGGGTGAAACCCAGCAAAGTTGTTGGGTCCTGAGTTGACCGGTTTAACTAATTTGACCGACCAGTCAAACTGGGTGTCCAAAAAATTAAAATTCGGTAAATATATCCCTAAAAATTATAATAAAGTCCCCACAAGTTTGGAATTTAGCAAACTCACCCCAAATACAAATCAGTGGTCAACTGGTTGGCAGTGGAGATACACTAAATGCAATCACAATCATCCTTTGAGCCATTCTCTAGAAAATCTACCCAAGATCAAGATCTTACCATCGTTGACGTCGACAAACCAAGTCAGATCTCACCACCGCCGGCGTTGACAACCCTTCCCATCACCAGAAAATACTCCCCTTAGCCTCTTGATCAAAACCTATCTCACCCCACCCTTGTTTGCCTCAGCAGTTGTCAACAACAGCTAGCTATTGTCACTGTAGGTTTTTTCGATTTTTAGTCGGTTCACTCACCAACCATCACCTCCATCGCAACAATTGCACTTATCGGCCTTTCCACTTCAAAACCCCCAACATCCAAACCTTTAATTGTTCACCGATCATCATCATAATTTCTAAGGTTTTCGATGAATAAG